AGGATCACCACGCTGCTTGGTGAGCTCACTCTGGAGCAGGCCACATAGAACTGTCCATTTAGGAAGCAGTCGTCTGTTTAGTCAACTCCTGCTGCCTTCCACGAAAGTGATGGCCTCTTTTACTTGTGTTCCTGGATTGTGCTAAAGCAATCCTGCTGAGCAAACCTCCCCAGTGGCTGTTAGCATCACACCTCATCTCCTACCCCTGACAGGCAGCTGCCTGTCCAGTGTAGGACAGGGAGGAGTATTAGAAACCACTGTGGAGGCAGGGCTGGCAGGTTCACTAATGAGTTACTGCTGGGGCAGGCTCCCTTATGGCTTAAAGCACCCTGCAACTGCTGCTGCACCTGACAGACAACCTCCTGTTAGGTGTAGGAGATGGGGGGAGTGTGTTGGAAGCCATCCCAACTCTTCTCCTACACCTGACAGGCAGCTGCCCAGTGTAGGAGGGGGACAGGGAAGGACTATTAGAAGCCACTGTGGAGGTGGGGCTGCACCTAACAGACAACAAGCCACCCCACCTCCTCTCCTACACCTGACAGGCAGCTGCCTGTCAAGTGTAGGAAAGGGAGGGGGGGAGTATTAGAAGCCACTGTGGAGGCAGGGCTGGCAGGTTCACTAAGGAGTTACTGCTGGGGCAGGCTCCCTCATGGCTTAAAGCACCCTGCAACTGCTGCTGCACCTGACAGACAACCTCCTGTTAGGTGTAGGAGATGGGGGGAGTGTGTTGGAAGCCATCCCACCTCTTCTCCTACACCTGACAGGCAGGTGCCTGTCCAGTGTAGGAGGGGGACAGGGGAGGAGTATTAGAAGCCACTGTGGAGGTGGGGCTGCCCCTGACAGACAACCACCTGTTAGCTGTAGGAGGTGGGGGAGTGTGTTAGAAGCCATCCCACCTTCTTTCCTACACCTGACAGGCAGCAGCCTGTCCAGTGTAGGAGGGGGGAGGAGTATTAGAAGCCACTGTGGAGGTGCGGCTGCACCTGACAGACAACCACCTGTTAGGTGTAGGAGATGGAGGAAGTGTGTTGGAAGCCATCCCACCTCCTCTCCTA